AAGACTCCTTGTTTCTAGAACACAATCTTGTGAACATTGCTTGACCCTACACTATTCTTATTTTTTTTCTAACCCAACCTGTGGCTGTGTCCTGGCTCCCATGAGGAAGTCCATTTTCCTTATGTCCCCTGTGGTTTTTCTGTCTTTGGTTTACATAGTGAAACTAAAAGCACATTGTTTGTAGACTACCAGCAGAAAAATTTCATTTTCACTTTCCATGAGCTATTTTTATACACCAAGCAAATATCCTGACAATTTGTTGCCTTGGATGGTATAATTTTACTATGAGGGTGGACTGGTTTTTCCACATGTCAACAGAACATTTTTTTTTTCTGCCTAGTTTGAAGAAATTCAATTCTGAGGATGTGGCTATCTACAAGTAGTTTATGAGTTAAAAAAAATAGATGTTTCTTTGTCACAATTGACTCAAGCTCCTGTGTATGTATCTGCTCTTAAACCTACTGAGAGGATTGGATTCTTCAAGGCCTTTTGAATTTGAGCTGTGAGGTGAGCATTGAAAACTACTTCCCTCTAAAGCTAATCATAAAACAATTAAAATCTAGTTTGAGAAAGAGTGTAAAAGATCAGGTAGCCACCTTTCTGTAACCAAGAGATGAAGACAGGTGCACAGATAACAGACAGGCAGATGTAAATACATGTTCATGTTGTCACATGCATACTCACATGCTTGTTTATGGGTAGAAACATGTCATTTTTCTAAATCCAAAACACTTGCTCAACACTCATTCCATCAGTGAATAAGTCTGATTCTCATAGCACCTTGCATCTGTGTTGTGTTAGAGTAAGAATTGTGTGTGGAGCCATGGTGAAGAGCACAGGCGTTGGTGATATAGGTTTAGGCCTGTGGGTTTAAAATTCCTGTTGTGGCACAGTGACCTTGCTTGTCACATAACCTCAGCGTGAGTCTCTTTCCTCATGTAAAAGATTATATTTACCTTGTAAGCTTGTTGTAAGGATTAAATTAGAGGATTCACAAAAGAAAAACAACTGACTTGTAGAGCGACATGATGTTCAAAATCAATGATTCTTCCTGTCATCGCGTCAGGCCTGTATCATGTCACCAGGTCTGTAAGTTTTTTCTATTCAATTAACTCTACAATTCAAATCCAGCAAACAATTTTAGAGCAAAATGGACAAAACTGAGTGGGGAGAGTCATAAAAGGAACTATCAATTTATAGGAAAAGCATTAGTACTAGATGTATTTTCAAATCAGAAGACTTTTGGATCATAGGGAATTTGGAAAATTATTCCTTTAGTAAACAAGCCCATTGACATCTGAATTCATCTAAATTATTATTTTGGCTTACATATTACATAGGCTATTTTCTCAGAAAACAAATCTAGAAGTAGAGGAAACCCAATTTATGAAACATTCTTTCCTGGAACTCATTAATCATTTATCATTATCAGCGAAAAGTTTGGCCCCAACATGGAGAACAAGTAGTTAATATTTAATAAGCTAAGTGATACTAGATAACAGGGCCAATCTAGGTCACTAAATCACCTGTTGGCCTTTTTTTTCAGAGATTGTCTAATGTAATTCTGATTTAGAACTTGAGAATTTTTAAAAACTTCTGATAACAGATGTCAGACTCCAATGCAAGTCAGCAAAAGGGGGGAAATACAAGTGCTCCAATTCTAAAATGGTACAAAGTAGAACTTTAAATTTCCTCAATTTGTCAACCTTGTGCATGTTACATACATTGAGATTTCTAATGAAACATGAAGTTAAGCTTAAAACCCAGCCTGTGGCTACCTAATTGTTACCGGAAGTTCAAGTTGATGCTTTATGCTCTTCAATGTAAAGATCCACACCACAGCCTTTGCTTAACACTGTCACTAATAGTAAACAGGCCTTCTTACAAGGTGTGCAATCTGGTTCCATCATCGCCTGATCTTTGAGTCATGGAATTAATTTAGGGGGACTCTTCACTTAAATTAGGCAATGAAGTGCTTTCTTTTCTCAGGAGTGTCCCAGATTATAGCAAGTTACAACGGAATCATTTATTAAGAAGAACTTTCTATGTTGAAACTATTCCAGGAATAGGGAGAGGGAGGGATAAAGGAGAATGATGGAGGAGGTGAATTCAACTGTAATATATTGTAAGAACTTTTGTAAATGTCACAATGTACCATCACTATAATAATAATATAATAATAATAACAAGGAAAAGAACTTTCTAGATCTGGAACAGCAAAGCTCATTGTCCAGGAACTAAGGGTACCTCTTATATTTCTATGAAATGAAATTGCTGTTTACACAAACTCTATATAAAAATATTCAATGATTCATAAGCTTTAAAAACCATTTTCTTAATTTTTTTGTGAATCAGACGATGTACTCAATGTAGATATTGTAAGTGTTATTTCAATTCTACCAACATGGATAGTGAAACCCAGGGAGGTCAAGTAACTTGTACTGGTGACACAGGCTAGTAAGGTGTGGATGGGGCTTTCAAACTCAGGCAGATAGACTCCAGAGCTCTTCCCCACTTCTGCTGTATGAACCCTCCTGTTGGGCTGCACTCTCCTTAAAGGCAAAGCCTTCATTGTCTTTTGCATTCAAATCCAAAAATAATGGAAAATAAACCCGCGGTAACTCCGTGGTAGAGTATGTGCCTAGTGTGTGCAAGGCCTGGTGTTTGACTCTCAGCACCAAAAATATAATAGTATTAATAAAATCAAGAAACAATTTGTAGCACAACAAATAAATCATTGAGTGATCAATCATTACATATTTTTATTCTATATTTATTTTTTGAGTAGATAGTATGTGCATATGTCCAAAATTCTAAACATACAAGTAGACAGAAAAAAAGAAGCCTCTTCCAGCCCTGTCCATAATTGCCTCACCCCACGCTTCCCCAAGAGGCAACGTGTAGGCATCAATGCTCGCTCTTGAAAATCCAACGTATGTGCTAGCATGCATGTATATACAGTCCGTCATCTTTAAAAAAAAAATGTTGCCCAGTGCCAGTGGCTCATGCTTGCAATCCTAGCTACTCAGGAGGCAGACATCAGGAGGATTGAGCTTTGAAGCCAGCCTGGGCAAATAGTTTGGGAGACCCTATCTTGAAAAACCCTTCACAAAAAATGACTGGTGGCTCAAGGTGAAGGGCCTGACTTCAAGCCCCAGTACTGCAAGATAAATAAATAAATAAATAAATAAATAAATAAATAAATAAAATAAAACACGTAGCTATAATGCTTTTCTCTTTTGCTTAACAATGTATCTTGGAAATTGCTTCATGTGAGTAGATGAGTTGCCTCATTCTTTTAAAAGGCAGCTTCATATGCTTTTGTATGGAAATTCAATCATTTACTTAATCCTTTCTCTTGCCAAAGTTACTGATTTTTTTTTTGCAGTTTGGAAGGTGTGAAAGGTATTAAAAGTGCAAACTTTAAAGGATGACTTCCAGCTTAAATCAATTGAAGCCACCAACTATAATGAGTGTTAAATATTGCTATGCTGGGTGCTGTGCCATAAAAATCAGTTTGCATCTAATAACGTCCATATGGCCCATATGTGCACAAAACAAGGTTGCTATAAATGTTATGGGAGACACAGAGCTGGCTGCCAATTTTTGTTTTCGTTTTTGTCTTGGAAGGAATGGAATGTTATGTGATTCATCTTTTCCTACAGGGAATAGGAAATAGAAGCTAGAGAGAAAAAGCAGCAAGGATAGGAAGAGACATTTATGATGTTTACATTCTTTATGATGGGAAATAGGGAGTTACTGAAGGTTTGGGAGCAGGTGAGTGTCATAATCAGAGCTACATTATAGGAAAATTAACAAATGGCTTGAACTGGAAGTAACTGAGGGGAGGAAGGAAGATTATTACAGACTTAATTGGCCGCTGGTATGGAGATGTGCTTAGCAATAAGTGAAAAGTCAGAGAGGGAAGTATTAGGAAGAGAGAAAAGATGACCAATCTGGTTTTGATGGGTTTGCTGGCTGTAATAATTATTGAGTAGTTACAGAACATGAACACTATTTTTTGTTTTCAAGTCAGTGCATAAGCATGCCTCTGGAAAGACTTAGATCAAACACTAAAGTGTTAGCATTTGTTTTCAAACTAGATGTATTTCTCCCAGTGATGTAGTTATTAAAATTTTCAGCAAGATGGGCCTCATGGAGGATGTAAGCAAAACCAAGAACATGACTAAGTGGCGTGGTGACGCACAGTTGAGCGTTGTCCATGGGTGGTGGTGATGCGTGTCTTTCCCCCATACACAGGAAGCTCTGAGGGGCAGGACAGAGACCATGGGCCTTCCCTAATGTCACTTTGCCCCTTTCTTCAGCTGGGCCTCTAGCCAGCTGTATGGGAGGTGAACATCCTGAGTGCAGGTTTTCTTCCTTGGTAACTGGATGAGGACAAAACGAATGGACTTCTGGCCTTACCCCTCTGTGGGAAGTGGGTGGCCATGCCAGCCAGCTCTTCCAGTCAGAGACAAGTTGAGCTCAAGGCTCACTAAGAATTGAGGGCCTGGGAACAGGGTCAACACAGAGGGGCAGGAACACATTTCAGGCATGATTCATTCCTGGGACTAGTGAAGGTGGGGCAAACACATGGGACCCCAAAGTCCTGCCACAGCCACAGGTTAAAAATAATGCTACCTCATTCTTGGGCCAGGGAAGGCCTTCCATGAATTCAGGTGGTGGCAGCAGACCCCATCTCAAGGATGGGCTGGATTTCTTCTGGTTGAGGTCAGAGGCCTGTGTTTGCTTCCCCGCCAGGTACGGGAAGTGGTTGCATCACACAGCCTCTCCTCCCTTCTCAGAGCAATGGCCAGTGCTTCCTAGCCTGTGATTCTGGATCGGGGAGAAAGGCTGAGCTGAGCCAAAACGGAGGAGGAGCCTGTGTGCAAAATCTGGGAACCTGAGTGAGCATAGGTTGGAGCCAGGATGAGGAGAAAGAGCCAGGAAGGACGTCCCCACACTTCTGGTAAGAAGACCCCGTGACCAGCTCCAGCCTGCCCTGGAACTTACATAAAGGGCCAAGTGAAGCCCAAGAGGTCACAGTGCTATCTGTGCAGGGCTCGGAGCACCGGGCGATCAAGACATCATGAGTTGGTCCTTACATTCCAGGAGTTTAATCCTCTGCCTCGCCATCTTTTCATTGCTGTCTACAACAGGCCTGGCAGTAAGTGTGCTGTTCATAAACAGTTTCATTTAAAATGGAGCACTAAAAAATGATGGATTGGTAAAATGTCTGTTATTTCTCTCCTGTAGTACGTCGCTACCAGAGACAACTGCTGTATTTTGGATGAAAGATTTGTAAGTGGTTTCTATGTTTCTCACTTTCTGTCTGAACTGGGGAGGGACAGAGCAATTGTCTCACAAATATGGTTTTACGCTTTCAACGTTTTTAAACCCTTAGTTGAGGTTTCACCTATATTTTATTAATAGGTTTTAAGTGTTGCTTTATGAAGATGTTTAATCACATCATTCTGTTTGCAGGGCAGTTACTGTCCAACCACCTGCGGCATTGCAGATTTTCTGTCTACTTACCAAATCGAGGTGGACAAAGACCTCCAGACATTAGAAGACCTCTTAAATGGAGCTGAAAACAGAACAACAGAAGCCAAAGAACTGATCAAAGCCATCCAACTCAGCTACAATCCCGATGAACCAGCAAAGCCAAGTGAGAAACGAGGCTACCGAGCGAGAAAGTTGTCTGAGAAGTTCTAACTTTTGCTGTTCTTTTAGTTGTTCCGTTTGCCTAAGCGTTGTTCTGTCTCTGATCTCATGTTACAGATACGATAGAGAGTGCGACTCAGAATTCCAAAAAGATATTAGAAGAAATTATGAAATATGAAGCACTGATATTAACACATGACTCGAGTATTCAGTAAGCATTTTTGTTTTAATTTGCTCCCAAGACAGATTTAAATTTTAAAATTTCATACTTTACCGAAAATTATCTTAGGGCTTTTTTTTCATTTATAATATTCAATTATTCTGTCTCTAACTTAGTGGAGCTAGGAGATTTTAGTACAGCAGGGATTGTACTGAATTATAATTGCATCTTAATAACCACATTAGAGAAACTTATTCCAGCTACCAATGCTATTCTAATTCAAATGCTGTTCTAACCGTATTTATCTACTTGTTTCACACCCACTCCCCATTTGTCTTACAATGTGAAATTAAATGCACGGGGATTTGGGTATTGAAAATAAAGTTCACTTTATACAAATGTCAACAATTTAGTGGTAAGAAATTAGTAGCAGGCAGAGGGATAAGGAGGATCTTGGTTACTGAAGTAAATCATCTTGAGATGGAGCAGATAAAATGTCTTCAGAAACTAAGTTCAGCCAACATCCTAACGCTATGTGGGTTTTTTTTTTTTTTTGCCTTTTCTGCTTATTAAAAAGTTTTTATTAGAATATAATAGTTGTACAAGGGGATACACTGTGATATTTATATATGTGTTTATAATATATCTTAGATTTACCTCCTCCATTCTTCTCCTTCCCTCCTCCTCCCTCCTTAAAACAATTTCAACAGGTTTCATTCTTCTATTTTCATATATGACTACAAAATACATCCACCATATTTGTACTCATTTACCCTTTCTTTATGTCCTCCGCCCTACCACTAGTATCCACCCCTGGAAAAGACCTGTTTTACTCTCCTGTCCTTCATTTTTTTTTAAGTGTCTATTGATAGTCCAAGGGGATTTCACCTTAGTACTTTAGCCTGTATATATGGTGCTTGTAGAGTTGTGTGTTGATCACAGCACAGTGACCTGCACGGAGTACCCGTCTCCCTTTGGAAGCCAGTGCCTCTGGTGCTGGCTTCCCAGGGACTCACAGACACATGCACAAAATCTCAGGTTCAGTTTTAGTTTATTCCCCCATTTTTTTTCCTAAATTGATTCAAAGCAGAGTGAGAAATTGAGACCAGTGGTGGCTGGGGAGTAGTATACCAGGAGGGATTTCTCTTCTTTTTGGTAGCCCAAGACCTTTGTTATTATTGCTGTGATTAGTTTACCATTGTCATAATAATATGCAGAAATTATCTAAACCAGAGTAGACAAAATGATCTAATAGTTTGCCTGCCCTTTCATGCTTCAAAGAAAGACACAACAGTTCATACATTGTAGATAGTTTTCTGTCATTTCTAAATACTGACAAGCAATTGTATGGGAAACTACTGAAACAAGGTGCTCACTTCCCCAGATGTTTTCCAAAGCTATGTAAGTAGAAACACTAAGCAAAAAGGATAAGTTCTATTGTTTTATTTTATGAAAAAGACCCCAATTACCTTCCCGACATAAGTTACAGAGGAAAGCCCATAAACAGATCCTTACTATATCCAAAAGCAAAAAGGAATGACGGTTCAGCATGTGTGAATCATCGGGAGGTGTTGTCCTAACTAGTCCATCACTCACTAGCTTGTTACCTGCTGCCTCTTCCACAGAAGGTGAAAATCAGAATGACCACTTACAATGACCTTTGTTTATTGACAGAGACTTTGTTATTTGTGGTCAGTGTTGAGACTGTGTGTTCCATTCTAGGTGAAAAGATTCAGGTCAAATTTGTACTCCTATTTTAACTGTTTTGTTTTTCCAAAAAGCTGAGCATTTAAATTCACTTCGACTTAGTAACATAATTTTATAATTTTCCCAAGAATGGAATTAACAGAAAGGAATTCTTGAGAAAAGAAGGTTATATTTCTAAGAGAAAATTAAAAATTACTCTTCTGAAAGGAATATTTATCTCCTGTTATCTTATTGTTCTGTTGGTAGATTTTTGCAGGACATATATAATTCAAATAATCAAAAGATCAATAACCTGAAACAGAAGGTAGTTCAACTTGAACAACAGTGTCAAGAACCTTGCAAGGACACAGTACAAATCCGTGATACAACTGGAAAAGGTAAGGGAGAGGTTTATATCATGTTCATCAAAGCAAATATACAAAGTGAAGGCTATTGTACATGCACTGGAATCTGTAGGAAGAATTTGGATCATGTCTAGCTCTTAAAGGTAAGGATTCCAGTTGCCTAGCATTTTCTTGGGTAGCAAATGATGTTTTGAAAGGAATGATGGCGTGAGAAGAAAATACTTTTCTTCGGAAATAATAGTTTACAACAGGTTAATAGCTCATTTTTGAGGCTTGCAGAGTCCTACCTGGATTTCAAACCACAGTAAAAGTTTCTTTTTCTCCTTCTTCAGATTGTCAAGATATTGCCAATAAGGGAGCCAAAGAGAGTGGCCTTTACTTTATCAAACCTTTGAAAGCTAAGCAGCAGTTCTTAGTCTACTGTGAAATTGATGGATCTGGAAACGGATGGACTGTGCTGCAGAAGGTAGTTTCCCCTTCACCACGTGCATTTAATCAATGTCCGTGTCATTTCCCTCGCATGACAGAGACTTCTAAGCACCTAAGGAGCATTAGCTCACTTACCCTCTCAGAATTCTTATGAGGAACGTACTATTCTTATCCTTACTTGCAGGGGAGGAAGCTGAAGCATGAGGTAACTAAGTAATAAGTAACAGAGTCAGGATTTGAATCCAGGCAGTCTGGTTTTAGTCTCTGCTTTGATTCAATACTGTGTAGATTATGACAACACATAAGCAAAGTCCTGTAGTGACAAAGAACTGAAGGGACTTCATTTGCCAGGTAGATCAAGATACAAAGCTGTCCATCGCAGGAAGATGAAGCGCCTCTCTGTGCCCCTCCCCCCACTATCCCAGGATACAGTTGGGCTGCTCCACAGCACAGCCTTTTGTGGCCTCTGCCTGCTGCTGGCAACCACTGCCAATCTGGTCCTTTACCTTATATACCTCCTATCAGTGGTATGACATCCTGCAGGGGTGTTCAGGAAGTGTGGGTGACCATCCCACCACAATGTCAATCAGTTAGTACCAAGCTTGAGTTAAGTCCTCTAGAGGGGTCTCTTTAAAAACCCATCACTAACTTAGAGTTTACCGTGTGCCAAACGCTCTTTTAAGCATTTTTTTTCTTTTTTTAAAAAAATTTTATTTTATTCATATGTGCATACAATATTTGGGTCATTTCTCCCCCTTTTAAGCATTTTTTAAAAAATGTTTTCTCGTGCAATCCTTACAGCAACCCTAGAAAGTTAGCATCATTCTTCCTATTGGATGGATGGGGAGACTGAGGCAGCTTTCCCGTGGTCATGTAGCTGGCAGTTGATAGAACCATAGCCTCCATATTTTTAACAGAGTGCTGATAGCGTTTTCTCTAAGCTCACTGAGCCTCTGTCCTCTCCTCTTGCCCATGCCATTAGAGGGTTGATGGCAGTTTGGATTTCAAGAAAAACTGGGTTCAGTATAAAGAAGGATTCGGACATCTGTCTCCCACCGACACCACGGAGTTTTGGCTGGGAAATGAGAAGATTCACTTGATAAGCACGCAGTCTGCAATCCCGTACGCGCTGAGAATACAACTCAAAGACTGGAGTGGCAGAACCAGGTACTCTGCAGGAAGCGCCTCTCTTTTTTTTTCCTGTTGTAGAGATCCCCTGGAATATTTTCTCTCCAACAGTCAATAGACTAGTGACAAAAACAGCCTGACAAATACAAAGAGCATATGCAGGACCTTTTCCTAGGAGTCAGCTTGGTTCTTGTGCAGTCTGGAGAGCTGGATCCCCTATAAGATAGAGCTGACTGCTTTAGAACAATTTACTTGCTCTGAGCATGAAATTAAACTTCATCTAATCCAAGTAACTGTTTCGACAGACAAGTATCATTATCAATCCCATCCTACAGGTAATTGGCCCAGAGTCAATTGGGGGAGGGGTTCTTGAATCCAGGTGGTTTGACTCTGGAACCTATGCTCTTCATGACTCTACTTGTTGAAAGATGAATTTAGCCTGAAGAGTCTAAAGCTGAAGAGATTTCCCGTTCCTTTAAGGACCATTCATTCTTTCAAATCACAGGTTACCCTAAAATTAAATCAGCTGGTTCCTTTGGTGATCTAGAGCCATCACTAGACTTAAAGAAATCTAGGGGTTTTGAGTATTGTATACCTACTTAAATGCAGAAAAATATCCAACCTAATTTATTATTATTATTGAGGGTATGGGAATTGAACCCAGAGCCTTGTGCATGCTAAGCAAGCACTCAACCACTGAGTCACATCCCCAGACCTTTTGTGTTTTTTGGGGTAATGAAACACATTCTGCCTCCTTAAAAAAAAATAGAAAGTACAATAATCAGTAGATCTTCTATGAGAGCGTCTCCCATTTCCCAAGTACGGTAGATTAGGGAAGAAGATAAATATTTTCTGGCAATCTCTGTTCATTCACCAAGGCCTATTATTCATTCCACTCAATAGAATTATGGCTTCTTCATAATTTTTCCTGGGGAAAAAGCTCTCTTTGTCTTCTACAGCTTATGTTTTAAGGATCACTGTTTCTGTGATGTCCTAGGAAGCCCTACTGCCTGGGGATGAAACCCCCTTTTTATGTCTTCATCCTATAAGTGGCATGAGTGGCTAATGGAACTGTGTCTCCTTCAAGTTTAGTGGATTAATTAATGATTACTTATTGTCAGACAATTGCTGTGATCTATGATAACATATGTACAATGCTAAGAAGTTAAATCAAAGTAGAAAATATGGTATTATTCGGATCCACCCATACCCTTTGGTCTGATATTAGGATCCTGTAAGTCAAAAGTATTCACACAAGTGAAGTTTGAAATTTTCACTGAGAATCCTTGAAGGCTTATAGACCTATCCTGGGTGGTGTCAATGAGCTCTGGACTGGTTCATTCATCCTTTGTCTCATGTCAGAGTCCCAGAAAACTTTATTCGATGTGCCTATGTTAGCCTTAAGAAGCAAAATGACAAGTTCCATACACTGTCCCATGGAAGAGGGGAATTCTGAGGTTCCTGAGGAGGCTTGAGATGTGATGTCTCTGTTCCCTTCTTCACAGTACCGCAGACTATGCCATGTTCAAGGTCGGACCTGAAGCTGACAAATATCGCCTGACCTATGCCTATTTTGTTGGTGGAGATGCTGGTGATGCCTTTGATGGCTATGATTTTGGTGATGATCCTAGTGATAAGTTCTTCACATCCCATAATGGCATGCAGTTCAGTACCTGGGACAATGACAATGATAAGTTTGAAGGCAACTGTGCTGAACAGGATGGATCTGGTTGGTGGATGAACAAGTGTCATGCTGGCCACCTCAATGGAATTTATTACCAAGGTATGGCTTTCTTTCTTGGGTTCTAAGTTAGTGTACAGTATATATTTTTATAAAAGGTAGTAAAAAAGTTGCAAAGAGGTGAGCAATAATAGTGAAGATAGTAGGCCTTTTGTCACATTGTTCTTTATGTGAAACCAGAATTGGGTAATACCAACCTTATACCTAAAGTGGGCTCTTTTACAGCATACACCTGCTGCAAAACATCCTGTAGTTTGTCACTGTGCTAAAACTATCACTGCAGAGTTGGAACTTGGGTCACGGTGTCTCCTTTAGACCTACCATATATTTGATGTAGATGGACTAACATTCCCATCTTTGTGCTCCTTGACACATCGGCCTTGCTCAACCACCTGTGAACTGTGTCAGATAAACCAGTGAACAGGGAGCAGGTGTCTGAAGATAATTGGAAGGGAAAATATTAGTAAAGGGAAGGGATTCAAGAAAGCTTGAGAGAAGAGTCTAGCCTGGGGATTACAGACACTGTAATTACAGCCACTGGGGATTATAAGACTAGAAAGATTTGGAATACTGATTTGATTTATTACCCAACAGTGAGGTGTGGGGACACCCTACTGATGCTAAAGAACCTATTAGGGAGCTAGAATATGACTGTTCATCTCATCTCCTGAGTCAATGTCCTCTGCAATAGCCAACTTAGAATCCTCTCAAAGACTGTTTAAAGTAACTTTTTGGTTTCCACAACACTTTTTAACTGGAGAAACCTACAAACCATATAATCAGAAGAAACTCTTAAGAAATGTGTTTGTTCCATTTGGCCCAGAGTAGCCATGGTGAGAGCTTGTATTCCACTCCAGGATCAGACTCAACAACCGCCTTGCAAAATTACATGAAATCTGGTGCCAGGAAAGACAGAAAATCAACCTGGTCTCTACTTTACAATAGAGATGTAAAATAATATTCCAGAACCTTTTTCTAAAGCTCCTCATAGTGTCTTCAATTAACCAGTAAAATCGTGCTATCAGATAGTGTCAGATCATCTGATCAGGAATCTTATAGCTCCTGCCATTCTAACCTACTTGAGAAAAGATTGTCTCTTGGAGCTGAGTCTAGGATACCTAAACTGGAGAAGAGAGACCAAGTGAGGAACTTTGGGGTTCCAGCCCTGTTAGTAGTGAATAAATTTAAAGATGGATGTGACCATGAAACACAACTGAGACGTAAAGCATTGTTCAATAATAATTTGTTTTCATTATAAGCTAAGATTCTTGCAATCTTTAGGGATATCTTCAGTTGGTATAAGTATAAATATTTTCAGGTAGTATAAATTTGATGCAATTGGCAATGCATTTCATAATTGTCTGTAGACTTTCTGAGGTAAGGAAATGCAAGAGTAATGGTGTATGTGTTTACAACTCGTTTTAGGTGGCACTTATTCAAAAGCATCTACTCCTAATGGTTATGATAATGGCATTATTTGGGCCACTTGGAAGTCCCGCTGGTATTCCATGAAGGAAACCACCATGAAGATAATTCCATTCAACAGACTCACCATTGGAGAAGGACAGCAACATCACCTGGGGGGAGCCAAACAGGTCAGGCCAGAACACCAGGTTGATTTAGAATATGACTGAAACACTGTGCCTGGAGATTGTTTGAAAAGCATTAACTATTAATGTCTGTTGATCCTCAGAAAGTTTCCAAAAGTTTCTCTCTTTCTTTTCTTAGCGTATTTATTAATTTCAGTTCTTCTTAAGAGGACATTTACCCTTAAATGGAAATTAAAACTAACTTTAGACTGTAACCCCAATTGCTGAAATCAAATTTATTTAAAAGTTGTTTATTTGAAGAGATAACATTTTTTTTTCTTAAATGTGAAAGGATATTTGAAGAGATAACATTTATTTCTTAAATGTGAAAAAAATAAAGCTACTCCCTTTTTTGCTTTTTTGTGATAACATTTTGTCTTGGCCTTTTTTGTTTTAATTATCTCTTAAGTATTTCAGTATATGCTAACAAAAGAGGAGAAAACTTTAGTTTCAAATTTTAGAGTTTCCATGTGTATTACCTCCAAATAATTCATATCTAATTCTTTTTAAACACAGAGTTAGATCTTTTTTTAATATATTTTTTGTTTTGTTATATATTCATAGGCTGGAGACGTTTAAAAGACCATTTCAAAAGTGATTTGCTTTTTTAAAGGACTTTATCTGAACAGAGAAATATATTTTTTCCTATGGCACAATGGACTTTGAAAGCCTCACTTCATTTTAAGAGTAAAACCAACCCATGTTGAAAACTCCATTATCAGTTTTATTCTGGTGATAATTTATCTACATGCATTTCAATAAACATTTTGTTTCCTAAGATGAGATACGTGGTCTCTTTTATTGACCATTAAAAATCATCACTTTTAATCAATTTAGTTACTACAATTGGGCCATGATCAGTAGTTACTGAGTTCTAGCTAGATGGTACACCTGCCCCTTGGGGAATTATAAAGAAAACAGCAGTCATGACTTTGGTCCTATAAGAGATGTAAGATCCAAAGTGCAACAACCCAATGTGATAGATACAACAACCCACAGTGACAACATTGAATAAAAGAACATAAACACAAGTCACATCACATGACTAAGGTGCCCAGCACACACAGAGTGCAGTTGGACACAGAAAGCTACTGGGGGATTCTTGCAGCAGAACATTTTGGTTCCAAAACCTGCAGCCAAATGGGATCACTCCTAGGGAGCTAAACTTAGAGCAGAGCGTTAGGGCACAGTCTGCTCAGTCCCCCACTGATGAGCCAGGAGGTGAGCAGAAGGGAGCCATTTCTTTATTCTGAATCAGAGGTACTGAGATGTTAGCAGCTTAAATTCAGAAATGGCTGGCTTTCCAAGGATCAGACAAGTCTGTGTAACTTGGCATCCGGTTGACTATGGAAAGTACTAGGGAATTTTGTGAAGGAACAGTCTGGTTGTTTCAAAGTCCTAAGCTTTGGCTTTGGCTTTTCTTCCTTTCCACAATTTCTTAAATCCACTCACTTCCTGGTCATAAGAATGACTCCTGATTTTAGAATATTGTAAAAAGGGGATGAAAAAGAAAACAAACCAGTAAGTCAGTTTCCAGATATACAAACAAATACAGGAACATACTCGTTGTTTGCAGTCTTCATTTGTCCAGGTCTGCGTGAAGCAGTCATCCAACTACCATTTACTGAGTGCCTTTATTGTAGTAATTGCTGTGCTGGATATTGGGGACATGTTTGGATAATATCCCCAGCATTCTCTTCTCTCCAAACCTGTTCTATTCCATGAACAGGTTTTTTTGTTTCATGAACAAAAAATAAAATAAAATAAAGACTCAGTCTCCAGCCGTCATCCTTCCTCTTCCGTGTTCAGTTATTGATGAAACCTGTGAAGCCCACCTCCTAAATGTTTACTATGTTGATTTCCTTCTCTGTGTCCACTGCCACTACTCTACTCACTATCCACATCTCACGCCAGAGCCACGACAATGACCTCTTTCCTGCTCTCTTCCTTAGAACCTTGACGGCTCCTACCTCATCATGCCCAAACTACTTCTAAGATGTGAATGCAAATAGTCTACCCTTTGTGAGCCTGTGAGAGGAGCAATTTGGTCACAAATAGGAAGAGCTATATAAATATTTGTAAGTTTTGATGCAATAATATCACTTCTTTGACTTATTCCCAAGAACACTATTTTTTAAAATTTTATTCATATGTGCATACAATGTTTGGGTCATTTCTCCCCCCTTCCCCCCGCCCCCTCTCTTACCCCCCTCTTAACCCTCGCTACCCAGCAGAAACTATTTTGAAGAGAGAGTATAAGCAATAATAGGAAGGAACAAGGGTTTTTGCTAGTTGAGATAAGGATAGCTATACAGGGAGTTGACTCGCATTGCTTTCCTGTACATGTGTGTTACCTTCTAAGTTAATTCTTCTCGAACTAACCTTTTCTCTAGTTCCTGGTCCCCTTCTCCTGTTGGCCTCAGTTGCTTTAGAGTATCTGCTTTAGATTCTCTGCGTTGAGGGCAACAAATGCTATCTAGTTTTTCAGGTGTCTTATCTATCCTCATACCTTCCTCATGTGCTCTCACTTTTATCATGTGCTCAAAGTCCAATCCCCTTGTTGTGTTTGCCCTTGATCTAATGTCCACATATGAGGGAGAACATACGATTTTTGGTCTTTTGGGCCAGGCTAACCTCACTCAGAATGATGTTCTCCAATTCTATCCATTTACCTGCGAATGATAACATTTCATTCTTCTTCATGGCTGCATAAAATTCCATTGTGTATAAATACCACATTTTCTTAATCCATTCGTCAGTAGTGGGGCATAACTTGGCTATTGTGAATAGTGCTGCAATAAACATAGGTGTGCAGGTGCCTCTGGAGTAACCTGTGTCACAGTCTTTTGGGTATATCCCCAAGAGTGGTATTGCTGGATCATATGGTAGATCAATGTTTAGCTTTTTAAGTAGCCTCCCAATTTTTTTTCAGAGTGGAAGAGCACTATTTTTTAAAAAGAGGGCTGGGTATAGCTAGCTCAGTGGTAGAGGATTGCTTAGCATGAGCAAGGCCCTGGGTTCAATCCTTACCAGACAGAGAAAGAGAGAGAAACAGAGAGAGAGAGAGAGAGAGAGAGAGAGAGAGAGAGAGAGAGAGACTATATACCTAAATATTCATATAGCTATAAATTTGATGACAGTAAGAAATTTAGGAAATATTTAACGGGAAGAATGGACAAGTCAAGTGGTTTAGTAGTACATTTGAGTATAATACAATGATTACATTATAAGCATAATATCTCTATAAACATAAAAGCACAAAATAATGTGTACTTTGAAGATGAAAAATAATTCTACAATGATAATTACAAAAGAGATATGTACTTTTGTACATTTGAATAAAATATAGTCTTGGCCTATGTATATTACTTGTACATATTCATTCTTCCTAAATCAATTATTATATAAAATACTAAAACACCAAATAGATATAAAGAAGTCCAAACACTCCTGATTTGTCCCATGATCACCTGTCCAGAGCTTCTGAAATATTAATTACTACCTTCTTTCAAACACATTTTGGAGCCTCCTGTATTTGTGGGTGTCCTGAGCACATATTTGGTCTGCATTTTGAATAATTCTGCACAGATTGCTGGGAAAGGGCTACTAACTTTTTCTTTGATAGTTCTGTATTGTTTGGCTTATTGTAAGGAGTTCATATTAATTTCACAGTTAATTTTGAAACCCACTGAGGTACAGAAAAACAGATTAACTTTACATTTCCACTTGTTTAGTTATTAATATGCAGTGATGAAGAACGAAAGGCTAAGTTTAAGGAATAAAGAATGAAAAATATTACCAGATTCAATTGGATCATTTCTCCACAAATAAAAAGTAGAAACTAAAAGAACTATCTTGATAAATTGACCAAAAATTTACTTTTATGTGAAAAGAAGATTTTGAGGCAGATTATTTTTCTTCATTTCTCATTCCACAGGTAAGGTTTCTCATCTTTCCCCTTTACTTTCCTGAGCATACAAAACTCAAGTTGGAAAAATATAGAAGCTAAAGCCTAGGTAGAATGTTTGAGATTTTTTTTTCCTTAAATTTTTTTGGTGTTATTGGGGTTTGAACTCAGGGCCTCACACTTTACTAGGAGGCGCTCTACCACTTGAGCTGCTCTGTTAAACCCTGCTTGAGATCTTTAAGATTCTCTTGTCTCTAACCAGTATAAGCTAGCCAATGTATTTATAGTCCATCTGAATAAATTTATTCAGATGATAAGGGGCAAATCTAAGTTTACATTTAGCCCTGGGGAAGATACATTTGCCTGATCAGTTTGATAGAGCTCAAAAAGAGTGAGGTGACAAATTAAAGATAGTAAGGTAAGTCAATGTGGATAAAAAACAATACATGGATGAAAGAGACAAAAGTGGGGAAAGACTGTATTTCATTCACCTCTTGTGTGCACACAAGCTCAAAGGCAGAAGTTGAGTCAATCATACTCCCAGTACACCATTTCCACTGGTCAGTGTTGGATTATTCTCTTGATTTATTGACTCTCACTTAGTTGAATTTCTCTTACTTCCCATCCTCCTCTTAGTAAACAGCTATTCTAATAAGTTTGAGATACACTTCTTTGTTTACACTTTTATTAATTATGGACTTGTGCCTGCTTTTCAATTACCTAAACAGTATTGTGCTAAAAAAATTAGCGTTAGAATGCTGGCTACCAAATTCTTTGTTACTGGTCTGCATTAAGTACAAAAACTAAGAGGGGGTAGGGGCAGGGGGGAGAAATGAACCAAGCCTTGTATGCACATATGAATAATAAAAGAAAAATGAAAAAAAAAACAAAACTAAGAATTAACATGTAGAAATGTCAGGCATGGTGGCTCAAGCCTATAATCATACCTTTGGGAGGAAGAGATTGGGAGGATCGAGGTTGGAATCCAGCCCAGGCAAAAATGTTCATGTGATCCCATTTCAACCAATGGCTGGTCACAGTGGCGCACGCCTGTCATTCCAGCTAAATAGGGAAGCACAGATAGGAGGATCATGATCCAGACTGGCCCCAGGCATGAAGCGAGACCATTCCTCAAAAATAACCAATGCAAAAAGGGCTGGGCATGTGGCTCAAGCTGTAGAGTGCCTCCTAGCCAATGTGAGGCTTCCAGTTCAAACCCCCCACACTGCCAAAAAAAAATTAGCATATAGAAACTACTCTATGTTATGGTTGTTCTGATTATATTTATGGAAATGTAATTTTGTGTCTTCTGACTCTAATAAAAATTTGGTTCTATATTTTGCATGTCTTTGCTGTTTTAGATTTCATTTTTCTAGTAATTATTTTTTATTTCATTACATAAAATAATAGGTGTGTGGCCAAATAGAATGTGACCAAATAGAATTTTAATAAAGCTGGTCTTTAACCACAAATACTAGAGAATCCTTGCTAAAGTCTTCATTGTGCTTACTACTTTTTTTGTGTGGTGGTGGGGCTCAGTCTTAGGGCCTCATGTGTGTTAAGTTCTCTTAGCTACAACCCTGCTCCACCAACTATTTTTCTTATTCAGCACTCTTTTTAAGATCTAGCTGAAGTTTGAGTGTTTTATAATTGCTTTTAATTTCTTTTTGAGTCCAAGGGTTAAAAGGTGAATGTTACTTTATTTTTTGGCAGTACTGGGGCTTGAACTCAAGGCTTTGCATTTGCTAGGCAGGCCCTCTACCACTTGAGCCATGCCCCTAGCACTTTTTTCTCTGGTTATTTTGGAGATATTATCTCACTTTAAAAAACATTTTTTTTCAAGTTGTCCTGGACCATGATTCTCCTATTTTAA